TGGCTCAGGCTCCCAGAGTGCTAGGATGATAGGCATGCAGTACCGTGGCCAGATATTGGTTTTTAAAGACAAATTCTTTGCTTTGTGTTATGGGTTATATCCAGATGTCCCCCAACACCTCATGCTCTCATAGGTGGATCATGGGGTGTGATACTCATCAATGAATTAGTACACTGATGAGCTTATAGGTAAATGTGATGCTGGGAGGTGAAGCCTGGTCAGAGATGGTGGGTACTGGGGTTGTAGCCTGGAAGGGTCTCTCTCCCCTTTCTTCTGCCATGCCATGAGCTATTTCTTCTCTTCCTTGCCAGCCTGCCTTGGAGCCAGCCTTCTCCAACTGAGTAGTACGGACAGAAATAGCTACAAACTGTGAGCCAAAATACACCTTTCTTCCTTAGAGGTGTGGGCGTATTATTGTGTCTCAGCAGTGAGAAACTAAGACAGATTGTACCAGAAGAGTGGGGCTGTTGCTGTGACTACCAGACAAGTTGTTCTGAAGCCTTTGAAACTGCTTGGTGGGAGAAGTTTGGAAAGGGTTGGAGATGCGGGCTGGAGAAGCAGCCTGAGGATGATGCAAGCCAATCTTGATGGGAAATTCTGGTCAGAGCTCAAAGGACCAGACGCTGATAGAAATGCAGATGGAGGTTTCAGTTGGGAACAAGGACTCTACTGGCAGTTGGACTCCCAATCGTGCATGTTATGCTGTGGCACTAAACTTGTCTACATTTTGCTCATGTCCTGAGTTTGGCCAGAAAGCAAGCTCTGGTAAAGTTGGAGCCTGCAGAGATAGAGCAGAGGGGAACTTGGTTGCTACAAATATTAGCATTAAAAAGAAGTCTTTACAACAGGACAGTATGAAGGGTGTGTTGAGGGTATGTGAGGAACCAGCAAGGCCCAAGCCTTTGCAAGCTCAAAATTGCAAAAGTGAAAGACTTCGCTTTGAGAAGAGTGCCCCAGGGCACTCAGTTGGAGAAGGAACCCAAGGCAACTGATTCCCTGGGGTTCAGTTCACTGTGCTCAGCCATCCAGACACACAGAGTCCTCTGCATGCAGCAAGATGCCAAAGGGTAAGGCTGCTGCTCCAGCTGGTGGCAGACCTTGGTGTCATCCATGTGGACAACATGATGCATGTAGAATGCAACAGTTTTGGGGTCAGTTAGGCTTCCACCCAGATTTCAGAGAAAGACCTGGCAGGTCAGGCAGTATGCTAGAGAAGGCAGTGTATGAAGCTGTGAGTGTGAAGCCAAAGATGCAGTGAAGACCCCAGGATGTTGGAAAAGCCAGGAACATGGATCGTCTGAGCAAAGCTGCAAGAAGTGAGCAAGGTTGGTCCAAGGGAGAAGCCGTGAGGGCTACAATCACATAGCAGCGGGGCTGCCCAAGCCCTTTGGAGATCACAGCTTACCACAGCTGGACATGGAACTCTAGGAATTAAGGTTTGCCCTGCTGGGTTTCAGGTTAGCTTTGGTCCCATTTCTTTCTATCCTCTAGTTCTGCTTTTTGGAAAGAGAATGTTTCCCCCTTGCCTTTGTTACGTTGTGTTGACTTTTCCCTTTTTATTTTGACAGGGGCTCACAGAGAACAGTTTGCATAAAATCTCAGAGACTCTGGACTTGGACTTTTCAACAATACTGAACCTATTAGGACTCTGGCAACTCTTAGAGATGAACTAAGTGCATTTTGCATAAAGACATGCACATACATCTTTTGAAGGGGCCAGGGCTGGAATGTTATGGTTTAGATCTTCACGTCCCCGCAAAGCCTCCAAGAGTGTTACCTTGAAATAAAGTCACAGCGAATGACTCAAGAATAAGTGCCTCAGTGCCAGCTGGCAGGGCTGTCTGGAGACATGTCCTTCCCTCAGACTGCGGTGGGCACTCACCTGTCACCGGTCCTTTGGCTTCTGCCCTCCCTGATTCCCGTCTTTCTGTCTTTCTTCCCTCTGGCTCTGGTCTGTTGGGACTTTTGTGTGTGTGGGCGGGGTTTGAGAGTGAGGAGGAGCTTTACAGGATCCAGTCCTAATTTAAGCTCTGCTGTTCCTCTTGCCTGGATGGGTTGCCCCCCCAAAGGGAGGGGTCCTCAGGTTTTTACTGTGTAACTCAGTCTTCAGGTTCTGTGTACGTATTTATGGTCTCTCGGGTGTATCCGGAACAGAGAGGAGTAAAGCGGGTTTGTGTTTATGTGTAAATGTTCAAGGGTGATTTCCTGTCCTGGTAATTTCTCTTAGATGCTGGGCTATGGCTTACAAAATACACTCTTCTGCTGCTTATCTTTTAGTGAAATTTAAAAATCAGAATAATACAACTAAGTATGCTAACTTTAGACATCTAGTTTTAATTTATTCGCATGTCCCTTTACAGGACTATGGAATAGTTAGCCGATGAACGTATTGTGATTGAGGTTTTGTTTATGGTTTATTCGGAGGTGTTGCCCAGGCTGTTCTTAAACTCCCAGGTCTAGGATCCTCTTGCCTGTGCCTCCAGAGTCCTGAGCCTGCCAGCACCGCTGTGCCCAGCCGGTGACTGCTGTAAGGGTTATTTTTGGGAAAGAGTTCACAGTTACTGCTACAGTACTTGTAAGTATTTAAGGTCCACATGACGCACGTGTGCTTCATCCTCTTTACCGAATTCTTCGCGTGTAACATGCAGGTGGAACGCACTTCTCCGAGCCCACTCACCACTTCCCCTGCGTTCGTTCACTGACCCGCGTTTTATGATTGCTTATCCCGTGCTGGATCCCACGGTTGGAGCTGGGCACGAAAGGTGGCGTCTCTGAGCCCAGGGCCCCCAGCGAGCCGAGGCACACTTCAGGGGTGAACAGTGCCTCTTCCAACTCTGAAACCCTAAATCACAGAGGCCGGTTCTGAAACCGTCCAGCTCCGAAGAGCAAACCGGGACCGAGGCTTCCACTACTCGGACTTGCACGCTCGCGGGCACGTTTGGGGCCCGGTCCGTCCCGGGGTTCGGCGTGGACACCGCCGCTCGGCGGAGGCCGAGCTGGAGTTCGTGTGCGGGCTGCAGCCGGCCGGAAAGCGACCCAGGGTGGCGGCGCGCCCT